CGATTTAAACTGTAATACCAAGTCGGCTGGAAACTTGCGCATATACTCTGCGTTTATATGCAGACAGTCTTGAAAAAAGGGAAGAAAATTAAAGGAAAAAAACTTGTGTTTCAAAATTAAAATGAAAATTATTATATTTGTTGTTGTTTTAAAAGTTTATTTAAGATGAAACGATCGAGTGCATGAAATGGGCAAAATAGTTCTCAATTTGGAGAGTCAAACGATTATAGTTTCAAGTTTTGAACATGAAAAATCATTTTTTTCGCCACTTTGTTAAAAAAAATCTCCAACAATGTTTGTTCCGTTGGTTTAAAAGAAGTATTTTTTAACAAGCAAAAGTTTTTCAACATTAAATGTCTCTAGAGTTTTGAACGAGGGAAAATTTTAATTTTTGGGCACGATCCACTATTTCAAAGATTATAAGAATTGAAGAAACAAACCAAATTAGCATTTAGTTGAAAATTTCAGCGTTTTCTTTAATTTCTGAAAGAGAATAACTTAAAGTCTGACTAAATCCTGATCAGGATTCAATTTCACCAACACCTTCAAAGATTTCATTGAAAATTAAATTTAGTTTAAAATAGCGGAGAAGCAGAAATTTCAGTGAGGCGTGAGGCAGATAAACATAAAAATTTAATGGAGATAGTCTGGAAGTTTTATAGTGACATAAATTTTAATGCTTTATTTTTAAATTTCAAGTTTTTTCCTCAATATGAAGGTGATCTGATTTTAAAAATTTCTCTATAAATTTAGTGTATGTTTTTATTCCATTTTTCAACTGCTCTTGTCTATCTCAAATTTCTCTTGAAACGTTTTTTAATGCGTCCAGCTTTATCGTAGACTTTTTCAAAAAGGCCCATTAAAGTAACGAGAAACGCTTTTTTGTCCCATCTGCGTCTACAATCATAAACAAAACACTACATTTCCAGCCGAGAGAGCGAATCTCCCCGGCAGTGTGTGTATTTTCATTACGCTCTCTTCAGCTTTTTTCCGCGCTATACAGTCGTTAAGTTGAAATTTTCATAACCCTCGGCAGAGCAACCAGGTCACCGTCGTAAAATTCTATTTAAAATTTTTCTGCCTTTCTTTTCTACGCGGCACTGCTGGTTGTGTTATAAAAAATTCCTCTACACAGTGGAGCGTGTTTTGCTTTTTTAGGCTGACGAGGTAGATAAATAAATTACGCTAGGCGCGTTTGTTTGCGGCGACCTTTCACCTTCGACCCGAAACGGACAAATTTCTCCACTGCGGCATTCTTGAAAATTTCAAAAACAATTTGATAGAAACGGATTTCGCCTAGTCATTCACAAATTAAAAAGTTGGTAATATTAAATTGATAATATATGGAATTTATTTTTACTCAGAAACGATTGGCTTTGCTTTTTTTCTCTCTAAAGGGTTAAAAAGCGTGATGCCGTTAAAAATAGGCAGTGCTCTCGTCGCGGAGAGAAAAGTGACGAGCATGATTAAATTATAAAAGCCTAAGTTTTATGGCGTAACAAATTGTGAGAGACGCTTGGTCGGAGAAATCTAATTTTAAACCTAGAGTGACTGGAGCAAGAAGGGCCTCTTTTAGGGTCAATCATCCAATAGCTAATTTTCCGGTCTAGCTGCAAAATTTTAGTAGCTGCTGAGCAAAATTGGAAACAGGCTTAAGTTGATGATAGTAATTTTAGTCAAATATAACTCGTCGAAATATATTTTATTCCAATATTTTTTAAGGATCATTTAGTTGATATTTTATAATTAAATTATTTTAAATTATTAAAAATCTCCATGAAATCTAAATTTTTTAAAACGTAAAAATTGTAAAATTATCATAAAATTTGATGCAACCAATTTATTCTATAAAAATTCCTTTTAAAATGATTGAATATCCTGTAGGATCAAAAAGTTTTATTTTCATTTTCTTCTCCTTCGCTAAAAGCCTTCTTTTATTTTTTTTACATCCTCTCTCACTCTTTTCCGCTCTCTATACTAAAAGTTCAGCCCACAAGTTTCTCGCTAACTTATTTATATTCCATCAGACAAAATTGCAACTCGGCGACAAAGAGCGGACGCAACACATGACTTTGTCGCCTTGTGTGCCTGAGTCATGCAAACACCGCATTGATGTTGTGCAAAAAATAATCTCAAATTAAAAAACCGCCTCCGAGTTTGACTCTTTAATTAAAAGCCTTTTAAATTTAAATTACATCTTGTGCATTGAAGCGAGGAGGTGTGAAAATGGCCGAGATATCCGCTGATAAGAAAATTGAGGATTCGGTAGTTCCAACAATTTATTATTTTCCGGCCGACTGAAGAAGTCATTTAAGAACGGAGATTGCGTTTCTTATTCAAAAAAAAAAAAACGAGTGGGAGGATTTCTGTCCGTGTAATGAGGCTCGAGTTGCTTGGGTGGATGAAATAATTAATGATGTGCTTGAGTGACGGACGGGCACTGACTTGAACGGAGCACAAAAGCGTACGTAATAAGCAAAAATAAAGCCGGCGAGGATTTTGCGCCACGTGAGGTTATAAATAAAATAAAAGCAAAGGCGAAAAACAATTCGGCAGCAGCAGAGGGAACCAAATTTGGCAAGGTAATTTGATTATGGACGGGCGGATGCTGCAAATTGATTTTCTAAATCAGTCAGTGTATTAAGAGAGCTTTCAAATGAAAACATATTTTTAATAAAAATGATTGCAAACAATGTAAATATTATTTTTTCGTATTATTATTATGTTTTTTTTTCCAAATTGGTGAGTAAAATTTAGAGAAAAAAAACTATAGTTGGGTGTGCGTTGAATTTTGAATTGTGGGACAAAAAGAGACAAAGGTTAGGAAATATGGGCTCATAATTAAAAATATTAAGTAAAAACGGTCACGGCACCATCAAGGCACCTAACTGCACAATCTTTTAAATAAAGAAAAGAAGTTAGAAAATAAAAATATAAAACTCTTTTTATTAAAAGTTAATTTTTATTTAAAATAAAGTTTTAGCTTTAATTTTGTAATATTTGTTGTATATAATGATTATTTATTATATTTTAGATTTATGAAATTTAAAAATTTAATTTACCAGTTTTTTTATAGCTGTTTCAGCTTCAAAATTAATTGCTTTGTTTACATTTTAGAAGTATTCATATTTATAATTATTGTTTTCAACGTCCCAAATCTTGTAACTTTTAAATTAAACATTTAATACATCCTTTGGGATCTGAATACATTGAATTTTAAACATACCTATCTAATCTAATATTCTGAAGAATAAATAAATATATGCTTTTGGCATAGAAATTAATCATTCATTTATAAGAATATTTTGGCAATAAATTATCAAATATTCATTTGACAAAGTGGCTTCCAAAAATTTCACGTGCGTCGATTTCAATAAAAAAATATTTAAATAACCAATTCGATTTTCAGAAATGTACTTTCTTTGTACCGTTTGCGAAAATTGCAATTAAATTTCATCAATAATTTTATTTTTGATGATTTTTCAGTCCAAGCACTGGTCACTTTATATTGCGTTTCATGCACTGGAGCATCCAGAAGCAGTTTTTTTTCTCCTGAAGGTTTTGAGTCATTTGCAAGGGAGGGTGCGTATTTGACGATGAGTCATCACGGCTCTCTCAACAAGGGGAGCGTTCTCGCTCACCACCGAAAAACACATTTTGCGCGGCGACTTCTGAGGGGCCTTTTGCGCTTTTATATTTGTACCGAGTTAATAGCCGCGTTTGATGCAACGCTGTGTGTGTTGGAATGCAAAATACGAATCGATCGATCGTCGGCAACTTGTGCGTGACGGAAATTTTCACACGACACAAAAACTGACTGTCGTTCGTGTTGTATTCGATTATTTGAAGAAAAAAAGAAATGAATAAAAGGGATAAAAAATAGCAATGCGACGCAAAATGCCAACAAAAGAACTGTTGAGTTGGGCAAACTTCGCCCATTTCAAAATCAATTTAAGTGACTTTGTGTTTTTTAAATCAATTTTTTTATGAAAGTAATGGTAATTTGAAATGAAGGGAGAAGAAAATTAATTAAAAAATTGTGCCATACAACCAAAATTTAATTTTTTTTCTCTCTTCCTTTTGTAATAAATCCGAATCTGATCAGGCCATGAGCACAAAAAGCGCCAACTGCGTTCAATTAATTAAAATGCTGGCGGAGAAAAATCGATTTCAAGCTTTGCCGGGCATGCATGGGTTTCTCTCGATTTGCGCGTCACTTGCTGGAAATGGCAGTACCGGCTGCCGTTGGGCCGCGCAAAAAAAATTGTGCCGTGCACTTTAATTTAACGCCACATTCACGCGCTGCGCCCGGCCGGTACTTTCTTTCTTCCACCGCGTTGCGGCCCATTATGTATTTTTTTGAACGTCGAAGGCCCCGGGCGTGACACAGCCGAAGAAGACGAAGAAGTGAAATCTCTCTGCGCCGTTATATTTGTTATTTTTCAAGATCGAAAGAGAGAGAGAGAGAAGGAAAGTAAACAAACTGCCCGACGACCTTAAAATTCCTACAATTTTTTTTTCTTAATCTTATCTTCCAGAAAGGAGCGTCTGTTTCTCGGATGTGTCAATTGGAACGCTTTTTATATATGTATAGGCGCAAATTGGTCCGTTTTATAGTGAGAGAGAAATTAAGAGACGGCTACTGACGAAATGGGAGAGCATTTTGATAAGCAAATTGGGCTCGGAGTGAGATAGAGATGCGTTTTAATAAAAATAAATTTAAGGCATCAAAACAAAAAACAAATCCATTAAAAAGAAGAAGGATCCACTTAGAAATTTATTTAAATTAAGTGGATAGTTTTCTCTGACACTTCCATCTAGATAATAATAGTAAACAATTAATTTAAAATCATTTTCACCTTAAAAAATTTCAGTAAAAGAATAAAATCAATTTTTTTTGCACAAACTATTGAAAAATTGCTCCACCTATAATAAAGTTTAGTCTCCCGCGAGACAGCTGACGGGCGAGGGAGCGGCCCTTGGAAGACTCGTTCGCTCACCTTTGCCTCACCTTTAATCGCGGTTCGCGGTGCTCGCAGGGTTTCAATTCACGCGGGTGTGCACCATTTCCGTGCACCAGAGCAGCGGGCAGCCGGAATCACTCGGAGTGTGGCAGCGGCCGGCGAGTTTTGACTCATCGAATTGGCAGATGGCAGACACACCGCGCGCACTACAGCATCCAACTCTCGGCGCGAGCACAACACACACAATGAGCCCCGCGCGGAGGGGGCCTGATGCAGCCGCGCCGAGCAACCCGACCGTTCCGCCGAACGCCGCCGGAGCTGTACGAATAGCAGCGCCACAACATCATAAGTATAAATTGCGCCTGATGCTGTGTGTCTGCATCTCTATTTGATAAACATTAATTAAGATTTGTTTGCAACATTTTGCCTTGATTTCCGGTGCTCAAATTTTTATATCATTAAATAAATTAATTGATTCTTTTTCGTTTATTATAATTCACATATTTTCATGGTAGAAGGAATAACTATTAATTAGTTAAAATTAAATTAATTGAACAAAATGTGAACCGGTGAATTGATAACGTAGTATTATAAATAGATTTATGCAAATCCAATTGGTCCTGATTATTTTTAGGAGGTTCAAAAATACCAATTTTTTGAAGTTGATTTTAGTTATAAAAAAAAAATTGGCTCTTATAAAAATGTCCCGATAATTAAAAAGGACTCTGAAGGATTTGTAGTTTAAGAAGATTTTATGACAGTAAAATTATTTATTTATCTGGCTCCTTATTATAACTGGAAAATAATTAATAATTATTCAATTTGACGTAAAAAGCAATACATACAAAAACCTGTAACTTAAAATATTTTAATATTAAATGAGCTATGAAAATAATAAAAACATTTGAAAAGCAATTATCTACCAAAAATTGGAAATTTTCAGACAATCAAAGTTGCAAAACGAAGTAAAAATTATTACACAATTTTACTCAGAAATAGTTGAAAACTTAAATTCTTACACATAATTACAATGTATAAGAATTGCAACTGTTGGAATTTTATGATATAATTCATTTAAAAATTTCCAAAAATATCTTCTGAAACTTTTACAAATGTACTAAATATACTGATTGCTTAAATCGTTCATATTGTTCACAATAACAAAAAACTGATGTTTGAAGTTTGGGATGACATATTAGTATGTAATCTGATTATGGATAGAAACTTCAAGATTACAAAAGTGTGAAATATGTTTTATAATTTGAAAAACATGTGTCTATAAATTAGCAAATTGCATTCTAATAAGTTAATAAAATTTGTTTAATTTTTTTATAGTTTATTAAATAAATTTGATCGTTTTTAATAATTTTTGGTTTCACTGGTTTGAATTTAAAGAAATTACAAATATAATAAAACAGATTTGATTCAATTATTTGTGCAATTTATAAAATGTTAAAAAATAGCTACTTTGTCTCATATTATTTACTTTATTTATTTTAAAATTAACATTTTTAATTTTATTTCACGCAAGCCTCCCTTGCTCTGCTCTCAATTAAAAGAAAATGTAAAAAAGTAATTTATTTATTGTATTTAAAGTGAAAAGTTCTGAAATTTCAATTGAAAATGGTAAACAATTTAAAATTAATACTTTTTCTACACTGCGCATATTTGTCTGTGTTTTTTTATCCGCAACCCTTCTTGAGAGCCAATCGCTGCATCTTTTTCTCAAGATCTCCCCTCCTCACCATTAAATATTAAAACGAAACCTGCGGCAACCTTTTTTATTTCCGGCCCGCTGTCTTTTGAATAGAAACAACAGCTTTTTTTCTCTCTCTCTATTTTCTACACACCAGAGGCTGTTTGTTTGCAGCTTTTGAAATAAATGCAAGATGGAAATTGTGGGCGGCACAAAGATAGATAGACATCCGCACCCTGCCTATTTTATGCTTTTTCTTTTCATGTGGTGCATTTCGAGGGCGGTGGCCGCCGAGCAGTCTGCCAGATGTGGAGCAAAAGCCCTCTCAGCCGCCGACGGACTCACTCGAGGATGCCCCAGATCAATACCCCCTTAAAAGTACCACTTGGTGCCTCTCTGTACGCGCGGAATAGACACGTTTGTTGCGCCACCGGTGAAAACAAGCGCGTTTAATAAAAATAGTAGCTTATTAGGCGAGCACGAGAGCAAAATAAATTGAATTCTTGACGTTTAGTTTTCCTTGTAATGACTCTCGTCAATCTCACGAAACGGTAGAAAAAGAAAGGTACTTGCTCTGCACGAACGCATCCAATTTGTATCTTTTTATGAGACAAGTGGAGGGAATTTTCTGAATTCTTACCAGTAGCTCGAATGCAAAATTTATAATCGTGAAAAATTCAACGAGACTGCAAAAACGGATTTTATTTAAATTAAAAATTGTAAATTCAAGAAATTTGTAGCACTAAAAGATTTTGCGAATCAAAATTATTATTAAATAATGGATGAATTTCAAGAATCAAATATTTGATCATATTTTTTCCCAAACACCACAGATTTAAAAGGTTTAAAAGTTAATTTATTACAACATTTTAAATATTTTTAATAACTTTAATTTCAAATATTTTTTGTTTCAAATAAAACAATGTGAGCTTATCGACTTTCCAATAAAAGTAATTTTCGGTAATTTTTGCATTAATCAATAATTCAATGGGAAAAGTTTCTTTAAATTTAAGAACCCCCCATTCAATTAATCAAATTACAATGATTACAAAATAATAATAATAATGATCATTGAGTCCTTATTATTGAATGTTATCAACAACAATTATCTATGTTACCAACAATATGAGCAAAATTGGAATTTTGTGCCACATTGTTGAACAATTTTTTCCGAGTCCGATCAAATCAATCATGCATTTTGCTTTTAAACTATTTACGCGTCTCCTGACCATTCTCACAGCATTCAGTCTGAGTGCGGAAACCAGAGTGTGGCTGCCGAGTGCTGGTTTTTTTTCGAAATTATTAATTTTTTGGAAAAATTCGAGAATTCTGATTTCAGGGCGCTCCCCGTTTTGGATTTGTGTGGGACTGATCGACATTATCCGGCTTCTCCTGACCACAAAGTACATTGCCATAGTTGTGCTGTGTGTCTCTGCGATGCTCTTTGAAAACAAATCCTGGTTCGGCACCTTGACTACTGCAGACGATTTTGGGCTCACTCCCGAGGTAGCCGCGTTTGTCGACAATTTGGCTGATCTGGCGTTTATCATATCGTAAATCTACATTTCCAAATTTAAAATGAAATCAGATAGTGCTATCTGATTTTTATTATTTCAAAGCACTCTGGCCCTGTCCCTCCCGCAGCCCACGTTCGAGGAGATCCTTCACCACCCTGTACTGGGACCAGTTTTCAATTGCCTCCAGCTTGCTTATGGGTAAATATAGTTTTTTAAACATGAGTGTCTGACAATTTATGTAATTTTATTTTAAAAATTTTAAAAATATTTTTTTTTTTTTTAATTTTTTTTTTTTTTAAATTAGGTTTTGGTTCATGTATGTGGTTGGCCCGGTGGTCCTGCAAAGACTTCTCAGTTGGTGAAAGCAATCAGCACCACTTTCAATTTATTATTTATTTTTCTATTTGATACAATTTATTGCAAATAGATGATTAGTCGTTTTGAATTTAACAAGTATTAAACAAAATGCTTCATTATTAATAATGGCTTTTGTTTTTGTAAGGAATGAGCTTACTTAATTGAATAATTTTTCTTTCCATAACTTAATTAATGTTAAATAAATCAACTTTAATCTTTAGTGAATAAATGCAGAACTGAATTGTTATTCAGGCGTTGAATATTTTTTTATCCCCCCGATTTCTCAGCCCAATCTTTTACAATTTGATTTATTTACCTTCATTTTTTCATTTTTATAATTAAATGACACATATTGAAGAGGTGCCTCAATAAAATTGAATGCTAGAAATTATAATTAATGCTTTAATCCGCATGATTGCAAGAGCAAAATTAATTTGTAATATGATATCCTTCAGTTGTACCAAACTTAATTTATGCAGCTTGATAATAAAAGAAATGAGTTATTATTAAAATATAAAATGATTAATTAATATTAAAAATACATTTAAATTAATAATAAGTAAGAAAAGAAGTTAATAAAATAAATAAACATAATTTGACTCTTCTTAATTTTTAATTGCAAAACTTGCGAATACTCAACACTTAATTTATTAATTTTCAACGTTCATAACATTGTTATTGTTTGCTGAATATGATGTTTTTGTGAAATGAAGTCCACTTTTGAGAAATTCTCTTCATTTTTTTTGTAATTTGTCCTCTCTTTAAATTTAACACGCTGATCCTTTTGCACCGAAAAGTTCGGTCCTTATCTCTCGCAAAAAGTTGGTCCAGAGAACAACTTTCTAAATGAGACCTGAAGCGCGTGCCCGTCCGAAAAGTTACACACCGAAAGAGCAGAGAAAGACACTCGGACCTGTGTGTGGGCAAATGCAATTTCATACCAAGAGAGTCTCTCGGTGCGATTCAATCTCTCTCTTCGCCGGTGGCGGCCGATTTGCGATTCTGCTCACGCTTGACCTCAACTCGTGTTTGGATTCTAATAAATGCATCAACTTGTAGCCGAGCAACACCACCTTAAGTGTATGCGCATTTCATTTGGCGTTTGACGCCGTGGCAACAGATTTGAACTTCTTCTCTGGATTTTTTCTTATACACTTTAAGGAATAAATGAACGCAGCTGGAAGCGGCTCGTGCCGTTTTGCATATTATTCTCTCTCGGTTTTGCAATTAGAGCGAGAATTATTCATCACTTCTTTGCAGCTCCATTTATGCGCTTGAAGAAGTCCGCAGCATTTATAAGAAATTTAAACTAAAAACTCGACACCCGGTGAATATTTCTGGAAACATAAATGGATTTTACAATTCTAATTTACCAGTTTTAATTTCTTTCAATTTTTCCATATATTTCAATTTAAAAATAATTCATTTTAGTTTTAAACAATATAATTATTAATTATACGATTTTATTTCAAAACTTATTTGACTTGGTTCAACTTCACATAAATTTCCCAATATATCTTTAGGTTTATATTTGAGACGAATACAAATTAATGTATCAAAAGTTATATATTTTTATAATTCTGATATTCCAAACAATGCCAGCTGACGTATTTTGTTATGAAATATTATTGTATCCTAAAACAGGAATGAACAACTTTATCAGTGAC